TGAATGTTGGCCTTTAAAAGAGAAGCATAATAATAAGTTAAGTGTTGCCGAAATGAGAATGATTAGGTGGATGAGTGGCTTTACACTTAGAGACAAAATGCGAAATGAATATATCCGTGATAGGGTTGGTGTAGCTCCTGTGATGGACAAAATTAGAGAAAGTCGTCCTAGATGATTTGGTCACATTGAACGCCGACCATCTGATGATCCGATTAGGAGAGTAGATGTTTTAGATTCGATTTATGTTAAGAAAGGTGGAGGTAGACCTGGGAAGACTTGGGCTTATTGTATACTTAATTTATTAGAACTAAATGAAAATATGACACTAAATAGGACTCAATGGAGAAAAAGGATTCATGTAGCCGACCCCCCACGTAGTGGGATTAAGGCTTTGTTGTTGTTGTTGATGTTGATGGACATGTACAACTAAGGGTAGAACATGTGCTTGTTAGTCAGGTTGATAAAATTAGTACTAAGATTAAGAAGAAAAATGCGTAGATTTAAGATTACTTGGATATAACCTATTTAGGAGTTTATATGGATAGAACGCTACATGGATAAAAGTTGTTCGAAATAATTTGCAAATAATAAATTTAACACCTCAGATAATACTTAGTAAGAACAAATGAAAATAATAAGAATTTATATTCTTGACCCTAAATAGTTGGGATAAAGTTGTGTATGAACTAGGTGTTTTTTCAAATGGAATGATGTAAATTCAGTTCAGATAAAATGGGAAAACATTTCAAAGTTAAAATAGGAAATTAATTGAAAAATGAATTCAATTATTTTTAATTATGAAATATAAATAAAAGGTATTTATCATTTCTATAATTCAAAATGAATGGATTTAATTTTTCTTTTTAAAATGAATGGTTTATATTTTTTTACTGGTGGAATACTAATCCTCGTTTTAGTAGATTGTTGATTTTTATCATGATTAAATGTGATATTATTTTCTTAAGTAGAATTATCCAATTTATATATAAAATTTTCAAACCCAAATGCAAAAAAATTGGCCTATATTTTATGTAATGTATACGACTCCTGAAGCATTAATGAATCATATATCTACTTCTAGATTTTCTGTTCAAATTCTATGTTTGTGTGCTTAATATATGATTGAACAACCATGAAAGGTTTTTTAAATTAGCATCCTCGTACTTGCATGGTGTGGACAGTCTTAATTTTCCAAGAAGATGTTGCATGATGAAAAAACAAGTTAAAATTAAATTGTAAAAAAAAAAAAAGTCTATTTTTGATTTGGAGTGAAATAAAATTGTGTTTGCCATGTGATGTTGGTGCTAATTTAATTTTTGTTTCTAGCAAGTGTGGTTTTGATGCTAACCTTGGAATTCTTTTAGGATGATTTCCTTCCAAGAACTCCTACTCCCTTGGAGAATATTTTTGGATCCATCTTCTGGTGAGTTCCATTTTCTTGATTCAGCATTTAATTTCAGTTAGAATTAAATTAGTGTTCTTGTCAATTTCTTTAAGACTAGTTCTTAACAATTTGGACAGCTTGCCCTGCCTGTTATTTTTTGTCTGCATGAAAGATACTTTTATACCAGAAAGTAGAAAGCTTAAGGATCCGAGAAGGCTTTATGCCCCTGGTCGAATGTATCACATTGTTGAGAGAAAATTTTGCAGGTAATTACGTGCCTTCTAGCATTTGCTTTGATTGCAGGTATTAGTTTTTTAAATTATGAACAGTCTTGCGACTTTAAGTTTTCTGATAAACCCAGGTGATTAGAGTTAAACATGAAGATTGATATGCAAGCATATGAATGGTCATTTAGGATCCATTTTAATGAATTTGAAACCTTGAAATGAAAGTGGAACAATTAGTGGTCATTTGGCCTATTTCCCTCCTTCATGTGTTGTGTACTTCACATATTCCATGTCCCATTTTCTTACAATTCTTCATTAAAAATCATGATGTTGCCTCTTTTTTCTAATATATATAAAGATTAACAATGTTGGCTTCAATGGCATGATTAGGGAAATGAAAAGCACTTGGAAAGACAATTCCCTTATATTTTTAAAAGTTGGTGTCTACCTTTTCAATTTTTCATAGAAGGCAAAAAAGTTAAAAAAAAAAAAAACTAGGTAGGCATTTCACTTCTATTTATCTAAGCATTTTAGTGGCGTGAACAAGTTCTCGTTCCCTTGTCAGATTGTTTCCATATTATTTTCAGTTTCTCATAAATAGAATATTTAGAAGTTTCTCAGACATCTTGGTTAGGAGAAATCCCAGAAGTCCTTGTTTATGGTGTTGTCAAAATAGACCTAACATGTAACAACCTAGGTCATATTATCCAAGGTATTGCTTGTTATGGCCAAGCGTGTCCCTCTAAGATAAAAGCTCACAGCCTTATCATTTTTTGTACTACTTGTCACAATATCATCCAAGGAGCGCTCCATTGCAAGAATGCCTAGTTGTGGATTTCAAAAGACTAATCCACACGTTACATTTAAAAACATCTTGCTAGAGTGTAGAGCCTTTAGCACCCGAAGGAGCAGAACTCCAGCGCCTCCAGAGATGCGCTCCTGCACAGCTGAAATGGCGCTCCTGTGTTGCTTTGGAGAGGCGGCGTAACACGCCAGGATCGGCGTAGCTACATTGTGGTCTCTTGTTGCAGGCTTTCAAAATAGAGCAGATGAAATATTTCCACCTCTTTTGGGTGTACCTACACCGCCAAGATCTATTTCAGTTCTTAAGTTTCGATTCGAGCGACGAAGGGAATGATCTATTGCGTGTGGTGTTTCTTGACAGGGTTCTTCGTGAAGGTGAATTATCGGGAGGCACGCTCTTGTGTTTGCAGAGAGTTAATCCGAATGTATATCTTTCCCATTCTCAGGTTTTTCAATTTTAAAACCTGTTGTGCTTCAGTTTGATTTTTTTTTTTTTTTTCCTTATTTCTTGAAACAGTTTTTTTATTTTTGGAGGTGTGGTTTTGATTGTAAACCAATTGAAACTCTAAGTAATTCTCCATCCCAACAATAGCAGAGTGAGGTGTTTAATTCGAGTGAGAGCAATGACCGATGGAGTGAGGCAAAATATGGAGAAGCTCAATGGACCAAACTTCACATTTTGAATATGCAAGTGAAGGATCTGTTGTATTAAAAAAAATTATATTTGTTTCTACAAGGAATCACCATGAAGTTTGAATTGATGATTTATGGAGGAACGGGAAGTGGTGGATCGAACCGACCTAGGTTTGATCTATTTGTCACTGTTCTTATTTGTTGCATTCAATATAATGAATGAAAAAATCACAGCGGAATCAAGTGTTGTTTAGTTGGGGGAATTAATGTGGATATAAATTCTAATTTTTTTGTTTTATCACGTCTATTTGAGCTTTTTATATCTTTTATTCTTCATACTTTATTACAATTATTCTTTAGAAACGTTTTAAGAATTTGGTGGCAATTTGTTATTAATGTCATCTAAGAAAATGGATTTCTCTTTCAAGTAAGACAATTTATGGAAATTAAATTCTTATTTTCGATGTGAAAACTCTTTTCTCATCTATTTTGTCATTTGCTTTGGCAATCTCCATTCGAGCATGAAACTTGTCTTTCAGATACTATTTCTTAAATATTTTCAATTAATATTTTTCAAGATTGCCCTGCATGACGAGGGCTCTTGTCACTGAAGATGACCTTAGAAATAGGGCCATAATACGACTCCAAACGGAGGACGAACAGACAATAGAAACCCAGTTACCAAAGGAGGGCTGAAATCTATTAAGATTATGCAGTAACTGATAGGAGACTAAGATACCAATATATTAAAGAAAATTGTCTGGACAGTTATTTTGAAAACAAATTACTTCTGAACTCCAATTGAGTAATGTTTTCTAATAATTTTGTTTGCATTTTTTCCCAATTCCCTTTATTTTCTTAGATTCGTCTCATTTTTTATTTGCGGAAAAGATTCATTTCTCCTGATCTCCAATCTTCTGACTTTTTCAATTCTCTATATAACCTTTATATTGTTGTGATTCTCCCACAATGCCTAACTACCCACCCTGCAAACCCCATAAAAGAGGAGAGTGGGGACATATAGGAATGATAATGCGGTTTATTGCTGAATCATTTTACTAATCTGACTGTTCTTGTTGGACTTTATCTAAGCAGATGTGGAAGATACCCTCCTGAAGTGAAGACTGCAATTCCAGTTGATGGCCGGTTTGAGCACGTCGTCCTATCTTGTAATGCGACATCCGATCATGGACTCATATGGATAGAACGAGAAGCGCAGAAGGCGCTAGATGTAAGTGGATTATAAGAGTACCTACTATTTTGTGTTTTTCAGTAAATTTTTTTGTATTTTGTAGTCTATTTACTGTTTCATTCTATGCCAACAGCCAAGAAGGAAGAACTATCAATATCAGTGTACTTTTCTGCATTGAACATTGATCCATGCAGTGCAAAATATGTCTATAATTGGACCAGCTCCATATGTCTGGTTTTGGTCCAGCCATTACGCTTTATGATTGAACCGGCTGGTCCAAAATTTTCTATTTCTTTGACATGATTCAGTTTTGTCAAAGAAAAGGAACTATTTTTTTTAGTTAAATTGACATCTGAGTACTTACAATCCTTAAATTTCTGAGATATCAACCAAGCAAAAAGGATAATATTTTATTGTCAGGATACCAATGAATCGAACAGCCCTGTAATGTTCCATTGTATTTCTTTCAGTTGATGAAGGAAAACGCTGAGCCTCCTTCTGCTCCAGCCCTGCAGAGTATGAGTAGAAAGCAAAACCTGGAGCACAAAGATGCATTGGAAAGAGCAGTCAGTCTCAATGTTCCACATGCAATCTCACCTCCAGAAGAATCCACTTCAGAAAACCGGGACGAAACGGCGACTTCAACTAATGGTTCGAAGTCCGGCGGGAAAGCCAACTGTGATGACCTGGTTGAGTAGCTCTTCACTCGAAGCGGATCTGGTAACCTCATCCTGAAGAACGACATCAGTAGGGCTAACTAAGAATTTAGGGAAATTTGACATATACATAGCACACAATTCTTATTTGCTTACATATCTCACACCTAAACTTTCATATTTACTTACCACTTTGGTGCCTTAAAACTATATATGAAATGTATTTCACTTTTTAAGAAAATGATAATAGTTTTATTTTTTATTTGATATTAAAAATTTGAGTGTTTTGTGTGTAAATAAGAAAGTTTATGTGTGGCATTTGTTAATACATAAGAATTGCGGGCATTTACATACATAGCACGAAGTATTTATTATAACATTTTATATGATTTAAATTGTTCGCATGGTTTTTATTTTTTATTTTTTATATTTTTATGAGGTGGTTTGTACAGATTGAAATTGTTTGGCTGTTATGAGCTCTAAAGCCAAACGACTTGGTGACATTTGGTTCAGGAAAAAAAAAATATTTAGTCATATTTCAGTTGGAAGCTAGACTGACCATTCATTTCTTTTAAGATCAGGCATGTAGAAAGTGGCATTTTATTTCTTTCTTTTTTTTTTATTTTTTTTTTATGTATCCATGTAAAAATAATATAGTGGATGAATACATCTTCTATGTTAAGAGAAAATATTACATTAAGACACCACATGTAGAGTTTGTATGTGGAGTTCAATAAAATCACGCCACGTGGCGGTGAAGAAAAAAAAAATCTGTCCGGTAACACAAGAGAATATTCCTCCTGTGTTATTTATGTATTATTGTGTGTTATTCATGTGTTATTGTGTGTTATTCAAGTGTTATTAATGTGTTATTGTGTTATTATAACACCTAGAATATTCTCAGAATACAATAACACGAAATACATACAATAATATTTGAATAACACGGAATAATACGGAATAATAAGGGGGGAATATTCTGTGTTATCGAACTTTTTTTTTCTGTTACCGTCATGTGACGTAATTTCATTAGATTCTGCATGCAGCTCTACATGCGATGCAGCTCTGCATGCGGTGTACTGATGTAATATTTTCTCTTATGTTAAGGGCTATATGGCAAGTGGTTTGGTGAATCTGCGATTCAAAACTTGTTTGGGTGCAGCTTATGGACTTTTTAAATATTTCTAGAGGGCCTGCTGCTTAGAAAATTTTTATTAGATAGGCGTTCTTTTTTAATTGACGTGTATGATGTCTTATTTGAAAAGTTTAATAAAAAAAATGTGTAATTAAAATAAAGTAGAAGCCACGTCAAGAAAATATTACGTTCAGATAATGAACGTCCAGACAATGGTGCTGTATACATGTATGTGTGTTTGTTTGTATGTGTGTGTTGTATGTATGTATGTATGTATGTATGTATGTGTGTGTGTATATATGTGTCTGTATGTGTGTATGTATGTTTAGGGTACATCCCATGATAGATTCATGATTGTAACATTCAACTCTCTAAGCACAATAGACCAAATATTCTCTACCCAGGGGCAAGCAAAGAAAAGGTGAGCAAGTGTTTCCTCCTCATTCAGACAGAAAACACATCAGACCAGCAATTATAGAATACATCCCATGATAGATTCATGATTGTAACATTCAACTCTCTAAGCACAATAGACCAAATATTCTCTACCCAGGGGCAAGCAAAGAAAAGGTGAGCAAGTGTTTCCTCCTCATTCAGACAGAAAACACATCATGAATCTATCATGGAATACAATCAGACCAGCAATTATTGTATCAATAACAGAGTGTCTGTATGTGTGTATGTATGTATGTGTGTTTGTATGTATGTGTGTATGTATGTGTGTCTGTGTGTATGCGTGTCTGTATGTGTGTTTGTCTGTGTGTGTCTGTGGCTGTGTGTATGTCTGTATGTATGTTTTTGTGTGTATGTATGTATGTGTGTCTGATGTGTGTATGTATGTGTGTGTGTGTCTATATGTATGTCTATGTGTCTGTATGTCTGTGTGTGTGCATGTGTATGTATATATGTTTGTGTGTTTGTATGTGTGTATGTATGTATGTATGTGTGTATGTGTATATGTGTGTCTGTATGTCAGTGTCTGTATGTGCATCTATATGTCTGTGTCTGTATGTGTGTGTGTATATGTATGTGTGTCTGTGTATGTATGTATATTTGTGTGTATGTATGTGTGTCTGTGTGTATGTATGTCTGTAAGTGTCTATGTATGTGTGTTATGTGTCTATGTCTATATGTATGTATGTCTGCGTGCGCGCTATGTGTGCGTGTGCGTGAGTGCGTGTGTGTGTCTATGTATGTGTGTTATGTGTCTATGTCTATATGTATGTATGTCTGCGTGCGCGCGCGCGCGCGCGCATCCCAAAGAGATCAAACGGTTTGAGAATACTCTTGTTTTTTTATCAAAATTTCATGTCAAATGTTATTAAATGATCGATCAACATTAACTGTGAAAATAAAGACTAATATTGTAACTGTATATTGTAGTTACCCATGATTATAAATATAGGCTATTTTATAAGTAAAGGTTATAGTCTCGATTTCTTGAATTTCATACAGACTTGTATTTTCTCTCTTCTATTTTTTTTTTTTTGGTGCTCTAAACTCTCGAGATGTGCCTACTATGACATTTTAGGATTTAACATCCTAAAAAATGGTGATGTGAGCCTGGACATGCCGCAAACTAGAAATAGGGCGCTACAGGAAGGTGAGACTAGGCAAAGAGATATAACAACAATGAAATCCACTCGAGAGTTTATACAATAACAAATTCAACAACAAATGTAGGATTTAAAAAATCAGATGTTCGGTTGGTTTAATGGCCTCCAAGAGACAATTATGCAAATGCAAGATCAACCAGTTCCCCTAGCAGAAGAATATAGAGAAACTCATCCTTGACCCTGAGAGGAACCACCAATTCCAAGTGGTCGAAGAGCGTTTCCAACAATAAACGAGCACGAAAATTCCCAACATGAGGACGCTAGGTTCGCACTAGTAAAGAGAAATCGGTCGAAGCAAGGTGAAGCACCTCTGGCGCAAGAAAATCCATTTTCTCGGTAGATTTAGGAAGCCCAACCACCGATATAGATTCAACCTCCACATTTGGATTCTTATATCTTATATATATATATATATATATATATATATATATATATCAAGAGAATTAAAAGTAGAAATTATTATTAAAGATATAGGAAAATGTCATTGTCTATCCAAACCATTATTCGTTAACATGATCAGAACGTTTGGAAAAGAAATCAAATTAGAGTGATTAAGATTGCACAACTATGTATGACGGCAACAAAAATGATTAATTAAAGCATTTAAAAATAGAAATTAATTTAAAAACTCAACACCATGTTAAGTTGAATCAGAGTCATCAGCAATAATTCAGTTATTTAAGAATACAAGCCAAATTACTCACGCTTCACCAAAAGTTTGGAAATAAGTAAAGAAAAATTACTGAAAATAAGAAAATTATCAAGCCTAAACAAAAACTTTCATTAGTTTACTAAATTCAATGAAATCAGAAAAAAAAAAATTAAACATGTAAATGATAATAATAAAATAAACTAAAAAATAAATAAAAACAGTCAAATATGTATGAAGAAATATAAAATAAAAAAAAAGTTGGCAATTCAGACTTGAAACTAATTCCCGAATAAGTTGGAAACATCAAATATTGTTTATGTTATTTTATTTAATACTGACATCGCCGGGCCTTAAGTCCTGGATGTGAAAAATGAAGGGTTGTGTTAGGTAGTCGACAACCACCCTAAAGTTTTTGTCAAAAAAAAATCATGACATGAATACAATGAAAAACGTTCATAGTGTTAAATAAGAAAGTGTTCCCATATTATGAACAGATGCGGGCAAAAAAATTTAGTCCATGATGCTAATATTAAGATGTGATATTAGAATATAGATACTCTCATAGGTAAATTAATGGAATTAGTATATATTATAGTTCATAGAAAGATAAAGATCTTATCCACTTAAGAAACTAAAAAGATTGGAGAAAATGCTAATAATGTTGATAGCTTATATTTTACACATTGATATTTAGGGAGGAGGTGATGTTGTAAAAATGAATAAAATTAGAAATAGAATTTAGTCATAAAGATTGTTATTCATACTAAGACTTTTACTGTTACAAGTGTTTTTACTCCTCAACTAGGTTTAGACATAAGTTTAAAAGAAAAAAAATTTTGGAATGACCTAAAATAATTAATGCAAATGATACATATTGAAGAAAGAATTTTTATTGGAGGAGATTTAAATGAACATGTTGATAGAATGATAGAAATTTTTAGAAACATTCATGTTGGCAAAGGTTTTGGAGTAATTAATGAAGAAGGTAGAACAATATTAGATTTTGTTCTAGCTTACGATTTTATTATTGCTAATATTTTATTTAAGAATAAATATAATAAAACACAAATTGATATTCTTATGAGAAAAAAAGATCGTTGATAAAGTAAACATTGTAAGCTCATTCCAAATAAAAATTTAAACACTCAATATTGATTATTGGTTCTAGATTTAGAGATGATGAGTGAAAGATAAAAAATACAATGAAATCTTATTATATAATTAGAAATGGGCACCTAAAAGACAAATATATATATATATATATATATATATATATACTATGAGTAAACAATGATTTCAATATTTTTGATGTTCAAGAAAAAAAACTAATTCTATGTGGCATAAAGTAACACACGCTATTAAGCAAGTAGTAAAAGATGTACTTAGAGAATAAAAAAGAAAATTTTTTACTAATAAAATAGTTGGTGGTGGAATAATAATATCCAAGACAAAATAAAATATATTAAATTTTGTTATAAAAGTTGGTTTAACTTAAAAACTTAGAGAATTTTGAAAAATGTAAGGTGGCTCTTAAGAAGCATAAAAGAACAATTTGCTATGCTAGGACTTCTACTTTTAGCGATTTTTATAATAGATTAGATACTAAAGAGCATGAAAAAATATGTGTATAAACCATTCAAACAAAGAGAAAAGAAAAGTAAAGATTTAATTCAAGTAAAGTTTATTAAAGATGAAATTACAAAGCACTTTCTTGGAGAAAGATATTCAACATAGCTAGGTGAATTATTTTGATAAACATTTAAATGAAAATTTTGAAAATATAATCAACCTTAGTGATCTTAATATCATTAATAATAATAAAACTTTATTTTTACTATCACATTAATAAAAAAGAAGTTGAGGATGTTTTAATTAAAACTAAGGGTGAAAAAATCAATTGGACTTAATGGTATCCCAGTTGAAGTATGAAAATATTTAAGAGATTTGAGAGTTTTTTAGCTTACTAAATTTTTGTAACATTATTTTAAAAACTAAAAAGATAAGGGGTAAAAGAGTATTTTAGTCAACATTTTTAAGAATAAAAGGAATGCACAAGAATGAGCAAATTATATAGGAATTAAGTTAATGTGTCATACATTAAAATTATGGAAGAGAATAATCAAACATAATTTAAGACATGATACAAAGATTTCTCATAATCAGTTTGAATTTATGACGAATAAGTCCACTATAGAAGTTATACATTTATTGCGAGGTTTGATGGAGACATACAGAGAGAGTAAGGAGGATCTACATATGATTTTTATTGATTCAGAAAAAAAGCATACCATAATATTTCAAGAGATGTTATCTGGAGAGTTCTAGAAAAGAAAAGTGTTGATAATATAACTTAGATTCAAGTCATTAAAGATATGTATACAGGAACTATTATTTGTGTTCGATTTGAGGGAGGATGACCAAGTATTTTCTTATTTCAGTTGGATTATATCAGAGATTAGTTTTAAACTCGATTTTTTTTCTTTAGTTATGGATGCACGTACTAGACATTAAAAAGAGGATTTACCTTTGTGTATGTTTTTCGTTGATGATAACCTTCTTGTGGATAAAACTGGAGAAAGAGTTTAGGAGAAAATTGAATTATAGAGGTCAACATTGGAATCTAAAGGCCTTTGTTTGAGTAGATCTAACACTGAATACATGAAATATAATTTTAATAGTAGTAGATCTAGTGACACAATTGTAACAAGGGGTGATCAAATCATTAAAAGGAGTGAATTTTTTAGATATCTCAGATCTATTGTTCAAAGTGATTGTGATATAGAAGAGAATATTATTAGTAGAATTGAAGTTAGATGGTTGAAGTGGAGAAATGCATCGGGCCTATTGTGTGATAGAAAACTATTGTTTGGACTTGAAGGAAAATTTTATAAGAAGATGGTGACACTTGCAATGCTTTATGGCGCAAAATGTTGGCCTATAAAAGAGAAGCATAACACAAAGTTAAGTATTGTTGAGATGAGAATGCTTAGGTGGATGAGTGGCTTGACACTTAGAGACAAAATTAGAGACAAAATGTGAAATGGAAAAGGGATGTTGTAGCCTCAATAGCAGACACGATTAGAGAGAGTCATCTTTGATGATTTATGTCAAACATTAAATGATCCGGTTAGAAGAGTAGATGTTTTAGATTCGACTTATTAAGAAAGGTAGAGGTACACCTAAAAAGACTTGGACAGGTATAAAAAATTATCTTAATTTAGTAAAATTAAATGAAAAATATGACACTCAATAGAACACAATGGAGAAAAAGGATCCAGATAACATATCCCACTTAGTGGGATAAAGGCTTGTAGGCTTTTCGTCGTCATTTTATTGTTGTAGTGAACATTCATTAGCATGATATCTCAACCATATTTTTTCAGAATTAACTAACAGCCAAAACAAAATTGCATTATGAAAGATCTTTTTAAAAACAAAAAGCAGAAAACAGAAAGAATAACAGTAGACAATAAAAGCAAAAGCAGACTAAAAGACTTCATTAACTGCATAATTGAATAACAAATACTGCAAGAACTTCCTGCAATCAAATAACAAAGGAGCACTACAAATAGTAGAATAGTCGAAGGTGCAAAACTTCTCAACCTAAAGCTTCAAATAGTAATACTAAAAATGCAAAAATGTTAATCATAATCCACACCCTAGTTCATAGTAACCTAAAAGAAGTATAACAAAAGTGACACTTAAGAGTCTGTCTTGGTAACAGATTCAGTAAATCCTATAAATCCGGTTCACTAATTCTGCCAACACCAAAAGATCTAATAAATCAAAGATGAAGGCAAAACCAAAGAGAAATTAAAAAGAAAATGAATTTAAATCAAGGGTTTAAGGGGTTGCACGGTAACAATTTAAGTGCAATTCAACTTAAATGTAGTCAAATAGAAAATTTAGCAATTTTAAACCAAACATTAACTAAATCAAACTAATTCCTAGTTTTATCTTAAATTCCAGATTAAGTAAATCTAGTTTGTTGGCAGTATTTAAGTAAACCTATACTTATAAGATTTACTAAATTTGTTAAAGTACCATGCAACCGCTATAAAAAATGTCATTTTTTCTTTGGTTTGGCAAGATTTAAAGCAAATCCAACTTAATTCCATTATCAGACAAGCTCTTATCCAGAAAAAATAATAAAAAACAAATTATAATGATTTGGACATATAAAATAGATGAAGTTATTTGGAAGAATTATAAAGGAAAAGGGTTATCGACCAAAAAAAAAATAATACTTGCGCTACAACATTTGAACAAAATAAAGCATCTCCTGTAACATTCTGACTACCCCAAATAGTGGGATAAGGATGGTAATGAAAAATGACATCTTGCTGCCTTTAGAAGCAATGAAAATTGGCCGAAGTATTCAAAATGCTAGCAAAATAATTAGTAACCAACACAACATGAGAAAACTTCATGAAGAGCACAAGGTTATATAAATCAAATTAGGGAGTCATAAAAAACAACAATAGGTACCATTTCAGAAATTCAACAAACTTTTAAAAATATAATGCAACCGATTTAATAAATACAGTAAAACCAGTAAAGCTGTCTGGCAAGTTCTGTTCTATCTGATTCTTCGGGTTTTAGATCTGCAGTGGGCAAACTTAAATCTATCGATTCACATGATTTACTAAATCATGGATTTACGGGCTTACATCCTGCATAGATCCTTACCTAAATCTGTTGCCAAACAGGGTATAAATGATGCGCATGTCCCCTATATCACAAGAAGAATCAGTAAACTAATAATCTTTTCAGAGAAAGAACCTTATCCTAAATGCCATTGGCCAGTCCAAGGAATGGTTTGGCTAAAAAGTAGAACTTAACACATGATATTCTTAACACATGATATTCTGCAAATCTTGCAAATACTAATTTAGAAAAGTACTAACAACAAGTTGCCATGATAAAAATTAAATCTGGTTAGAAGATAGCACTCTTTGGTATATATGTTCAAGGTTTAAAATCAAATTCAAGAAGAAGAAGAACAAAAATCAGTCTAAACAAGCGAAAATGAGACAAATAACTATCACAACTTAGAAGAAGAAAGTATTCAGACAGTTTAATCAAATCAGTCAATTGTCACTAACAACGCATCTGGTACGCTAATTAGATACAACTACTTCCTAAACCACTTGCATAATGTCATAAGCACTTCCACCAAATCAAATTGAACAACTGCGTATCAAATTTCATTAGCAAACGCTGCGCTCCGATCAATCACTGCGCTGCGGCCACCGCCGGCTTCACCTTCAAAGGCCTACCTCTCCCTCGCTTCACTCCGGATACAGGGGTTGCCGTCACATCGCCCTTAGCTACAGCCTTAGATGCCGCAGAGATCACTGGCTGATTCTTCTTCGGCGGCCGGCCACGGCGGCGAGCGTTCCCTCCGGCCGTCTTCACTACATTAGTAGCATTCAGCTTCTTCGGCCGGCCGCGGCTGCGTGGGATTTTGACCGTCACAGCGCTTGGTTGGGGAGGGGGCCGGCCGCGCCGGCGTGGGATTTTGACCGTCACAGTGTTTGATTGGGAATTCTTGGGTTTCGGTGGCCGGCCGCGGCGACGGGGGGTTCCCGCGACAGAATTCACTGCATTTGATTGGGGATCTTTGGGCTTCGGAGGCCGGCCGCGCGACCGCGGGGTCGGCGGCGAGGATCCCGGTGGTAGCGCAGGCTTGGGCTTTTTAGGGCGGCCCCTTCCTCGGCGCGGCTGTGAGTTTGGGTAGGGTTTGATGTAAAGATTATTTTCAAACAGCAGCTCGCCGCTCTCCTTCAACTTCGTCAGCGATTCCGAGATCGCCGCCGTATAGCCCTCACCGAGAGAGTCGGCATAGGTGGCCTCGATGTATTCTATAATAGCTAATTTGCTCGAGCCTTCTGTCTCTCCGAGCGCAGAGATTGCAGTTCGAATCAGCTTCAAGAAGTCAAAAAAGAAAGTCCTGATTCAATTCGAAATCGTCGATTTCTCATCCATTTGAACAGAAATCTAAGGGATGGATCATGAAGTTACCTCGGGGTATGACGGATTGGAAGCGGAGTTGCTCTCCTCCGCTGTTGTCGCCATGGATGAGTGAGGAGTGGAAGAGAGAGAGAGAGAGAGAGAGAGAGAGAGAGACAGTCGTGAGAGTTGAGAGGAGAGCGAAGAAGATGACCAATAAAATAATCCCCTAAATAATATTAAAAAATACTAAAATAAAAGTAAATAACTTCAAATAAAGGAGAGGATAAGCCCAACAAGAATGTAGAAATGGACGGCTGAGATCTCGCTGGCATCTGAAATTCATAAAATCAAGACGGGGAAAGGATTGATGACGTGGACGGTAAAAACCCTCCAAGATTTATGGCTTCTATGTTGTCAAAATGGTTTGCATTTCATTCCTTGAATAAAAGAGTTTAATATCACTAATATTTTTGTGCTCGATATATAATCGAGCTGAACATGAAATATAATTTATTTGTTTGTGTTTGACTAATATAATGGGAAAGAGATAGAGAGAGACAATAATTTGGAACCGATGTATTGACCTTTCTCAACCTTTTTGGTTAAGATGGTGTAACTATTATTTATAGAATAGCCTCCCACTTATATACGAAGGATGCATGACTCATAAAAATTACAAAGATACTCCTACTATAATAGAAATTGTATAGAGTATTATATATATTTGCTATGGTGGGCCCTATGGATCTCTTTGGATCCTAGTAAGGTGAGCTAGATGGTAGGGATGGGGCGGTCAATCTTGTTGGTAGTTGTCGCATTAAAAAGTTGAAGAGTTGTTAAGTTGTCGGCTGCTAGGATGGATATCCTAACACCCGTTTAATTTAATTTAATACATATATAATTTAGAAAAAAAATAGTATTTTAAAATTTTGAAAATACATGACTGAATCGATCTCATATCTCAGTAGTTTAAATAAACGAGTCTAATACCGCAAGTAGTGCACATATCCCAAGGGATAGATATATTACTTACTGGTAAAGACTCGATTAAATAAACTAAAGATTGTGTGACATCCTTTTAGATCTGCAAAAAATTATTTTTGTTTATAAGCTGACAATTTCTCCTATCTAATACGAAGAATTAAATATGGTTTATATTAAGCTGGGTTCGGAAAAGCTTCCTATAAGGGCAAACCCCTATAGTTAATTACATCCTAGATAACCGAAGTCACCTAAGTCACCAAAGAAGACTCTCGATAAAAATCAGGAAATTATTATCTTCGAAGAGGTCAAATGATAGGACTTTTCAACGAGATCAGACAAAGAGGTGTGAAAGGGTAATGACTCAAATTTTAGAACATTTTATTTGGAATCCAAAGGAGGAAGAACTAGGGGATGTCATAGATCCGGAGGAGAACCTCGGTGACTTTCCAAATTATCCTATGATTTGACTTCATTTTTGGAGATTAGAAATTATTGAATGTTTCATCCTACCAATTTTATTTATTAGGGTTTATATTAATGTGAAAAGATCACACAAATAGCCTGGAAGATGTGAGGACTTAGGTCGAGACAGACGACAACCACAAAATCCTAAAATAAGTTAGGGTTTAAATTGTATAGCAGAGCTATATAAATGCCTAAAGATAAATTGAGGATTTATGTTTGCATATGCAAATAACCTCAAAATCCTATGGATTGTTATTTAATTCTAAGGAAATATATTATGTTGTAGATCCTCTTGTTGTTGAAGATGGTCGTGCTGCCCATAATGCTAGCTCCAAGCTCCTCATCGTGGCGAGTTTAAGTTTTCTAATATGTCAAGTTATGATGTCAAATCAAATGTCCCTATGGTTATAGTTCCTTAAATATTATGGGGGCATATTAAATTTGAATAGAGCGACACTGGTTAGGATCCTACGGTTCCCTCGTTCCGGTACCACTATTTTTTATCGAATTCACTTAATCCAAATGAATTATCCAAATGAATTTACTAAAATTTTGTACTTTCATTTAGACCGTGGGAAATCTCGTTAGCAACCGTAGGTTACCTCCTTCGAGGGATTCTTGATCATCCGATAGAGATGTATTAATTTTGATCATCCG